AGAGAGAGAGAGAGAATGTGTATCAGGCATTCTAGGAGTATGGATATTCACACAAGTACCCGAAAACCTAGCAAGTCCCGTTTTCGCCGGCTTCTTTTTAAAGCCCAGCCTTATATTCAGACCCAACGTGCCTACCGTCTGCCTTCTGGCATCGCCCCGAAGCCGAGCTCTCGCCCTGCCACTCAAGCCTTGAAGTGGTTAGGAAAAGGTGGCTCTTCATTTAACATTGCCTCAGTCTCACGGCTGTCTTCCGAGTGAACTTCTAGAAGCCACCAGAGGGTGAAGGCAGAAGCCATCTCACCACTTCTGTCCCCAAGACTTCCCAGCGCCTGCCTGGCAGGGCTCCGCGCCTTCCTCCTTCTCTGTCAGGACGTTTCATTGCAGGGATGAACGAAGGACCCGGGAGGGTGAGCGACTGTGTCATCCCCGGGAAACCGTCCTGCCACTGGACAGCACCATGGTGAGTTCCCTGTGCGCGAGCGATTTAGGGTAAACATTAAGTACGACTTTCCAGGAAGTTCTACAGTGGTATTACAGCTGAAACATACGCCAGGTGAGGCTATGCCATCTCTTCTCTGGAAATCTTTAAAAACAGAAACATTCTTACCGACCAGGAATGATGTAGGTGCAGCCTGCCAGAAGATAGAGACGGGTGACATTTTCCGTTTCCATGTGACATTTTAAAGAATATTTTACACTAAATACTTTAAATAAAACTGGACCTGATTTCTCTGTAATTTCTGCCTTATTGTGTGTTACAAGGTTTAAGGCATAATCACATCATCTGCCAGTTTTAGAGTACAAGAGAAGGGCGGGACCCTTCTGTATCACTGGGAACTGAGCAGCTCACCAGTGTCCCAGGCATTCTAGTTCACTTATATAATTCGTGTCTACATGACAGAAAATCCTAGTCATGCCTCCAAAACATGAGTTAGAAATAGAGTTGCAAAGTATTATTTCTGTATAAGTAAAATTTTACTAAGTAATCTATAAACAAAGCAATTTATGTTGTATGTATTAAAAAGCATTAAACGCTCGAGTAAACAAAGTATCATAATCAACACTGGCACGCCGTCAAACCAGACCATTTAAAGGTTGTCGACATCATCCAATAGAAAGCTTCTTTACTTTCTCGGGTTTTCAGTTTGTTCTCCACTTCAAGGTGGCAGAAGGTGCAGTGAGACCCAAGGCAAGGGATCCCCGCTGTGGTCCACGGATGGGCTTCAGGCAGGCTCACAAGCAGCCTAACACCGTATGTATGCTCCTGTGTGTTTGATTACCCCTTCTGGAAAGAGGGTCCGCAGACTTCATCAGCTTTTCTAAAAGGTCTGAGGCCTGAGGAAGAATACTTTTTTGCCTGGAATATACAAAATTTTTGTAGTTTTTTTTTTGAAGACTGGGCACATTGGAGTGTATCAGTGT